GGTAGTTGACGATAAACCCTTTTAAAAGAAATAATCCATTGAACTTAGCAACCCGGGCAACAAATTGAAGGACAAGGAAACTTATAGTGATTTCGAGTCCAAAAATTCATGGTTCAAATGAAAGTAGTTCAAAGGGAGTTTGACAAGAGTTCAGCAACCACCATCGAAGAAATGATAGATAACAACCTAGGGGCAAGGGTGATCTAAGGATAACCAAAATAAGAAACTCCCTGCTACCTGGGGAGCAGGGTTGTAGTCCAGAGTCCATACAAGAAGGTCCTTTACCTAGTCCTAAGTGACATGCAACAAAGAGGGGCACCACTGGTTCTCCAAGAAGGGGGAAATCAAGACTTCATCCACGAGCAGACATCCACCTAAGTCAGAGTTAAAAGAAAGAGCGCCAAAGATTCAAAGAGTCAAATCATATGGCCACCGACTTTCAAGAAAAAAGGGGGTAAAGAAGAAGAAAAAAAGGTGTCCATCCTCAAGTAAATCAACAGGATGCCCTGACTCCATTAGAAAGTCAAAGAAAGCATCCAAATCCTCAAGGAAATCAAAAAAACACCTTTAAATCTCAAATAAAGTCAAGGAAGGTTCCCAAATGCTCAAGTGAATCAAGAAGACTCCTTAACTCCCAGAAGGAAGTCAGAGAAGGGCATCCAAGTCTTCAAGACAACAAGAAAGAAATACAACTAAAGAATCGATCTAGTGCCCGCAAAGTAAATCAAGGGGTATTAGTTTGACGGACCATAGGTAAGGAGTTCTCCAAGTAGAACTGAAGGACCTTGAGCCATTCGAATCTAAAAGGATCAATGGAGGGTACAAAAATGAAAATCTAAAGAGATCCCAAGCACCAAGGGCAATGATCGAAGAACTTCTTCTTAGATTGTGACATGAGAATCGAGATTTAAGGACAAGAGAATACTTGATGATTCCTAATCCCCAAAGTCCCAGCAAAGGTTTTCACAACTCATATATGAAAATTAATTGACCCAATTCAAAACTTAAGGCAAAACACAAGGGGCATCTTGTTTTCTAAAATTTAGCTTTTAAGTTGGGTTTTGGGTAGATTAAACTCCCTAAATGAATAAAATAAAATAGAATTTCAAAATTCCACCAAAGGCAAGGAGTGAAACTATAAGACCAGCCTTTTCCAAAAACATTTTAAAACCTCCCTTTTCAAAAGCATTTTTAAAAATCCGTTTTTTTTACTAAAAGAATCTTTCAAATGTAAATTTTTAATTTCAAGTTTCAAACTATCACAGGTCAACCCTAATTTTGGGTTTTCAAAATTTGGCATAGGTGTTTTCTATAACTTTAACTATCATTTTAAAAAACTTTTAACTTTCATTTTAAAAACTGGCATCGGTCTCTTCTCTAAATTTCTCCCTACTTACAAAACTTCTAAAAAGTTGTCTAAAATGAAGGAGTGGGATCAGGCCCCAAAAATGATGACACCGTCGGACCATCCCATACGTCATAAGAATCCGAGAGGATTGCCTGAACCAAAGGTTCAATCAAGAATGAATGAGTGAGAGAAAGAGACTAACAGAAACCGAAAACCTTTAATCCCAGTTAAAATCTTACCCTTAAAACCTAACTAAACTTTAGAAAGCCTTAGGAGCCAAACTATGATGGGAATTCCATTACCAGAATTTTCTCCATAATTTCATTCTAAATCCATATATTCAGTTGAAAACTAATACCTCGAGTCAAGACATGCTGACAACAGCTGACCAATGCTTCGAAGTGTTGGCAGTTAAGTGCCAGGGTGATCAAGGTGATTCAGCAATGGCTGACCATCTCCTTGAAGCGGTGGAATTTAAGGACCTAGCCAGAATGGCCATCACCATGAAGTGGTGACAAAAGATTGGCGGGGTGCCTTGCAAACAAGCGAATGACCATGGCCTCAAAGCATTGCCAAATGAAGTCTTAAGGATCTTAACACCGGCACTCTGTAATATCCTGGATGTTAGGTATTCAAGTGAAACTCCATTGTTGCAGGTATCCCCTTCTTTGTTGCCCACTTGTTTCTTGAATAACAGGGAGCAACAAAGAGGGACAACTGTAGACACCCCGCCTGAATTTTTCCTTAAGGGATTTCCACAACCCTACAAGCCTAAAACCTAGGGACCACACTAACATAGTGAACCACACTGTAATCTACACCCCAACCACAGTTTGGCAACCAACTATTCCCTAAATATTCACATAGAACCTATTTTTAGGAGAATCAAAACCAAAGATAAAGAAGATCCCAGTCTATCAAGGAAAAAATCTAAAACTGCAAGACATAAGACCCGAAATCTTGTTAGACAGTTGCCGAAGAAAATCACCAGCCACGTAGCAAAATCTGAAGGCTGGAGAGCTTAGTAACGCAGAATGAACCTCTGGCAATGACGCATAACAAGCTCCTAAGGCAAGGACAATGCAAATTTAATATAGGGACGCCTCTTGAGGGCCTTCACCCATTTATAGGCCTCTTCAACTGATTTTTAGGAGGATCCTCCAAAATAGGCAGAAACTAACACTAGCCTCCTCAATTCCCCTTCGTTGTTGCTCACCAGTTTCTTGAATAACAGGGAGCAACAAAGAGGGACAACTGTAGACACCCCGCCTGAATTTTGCCTTGAGGGATTTCCACAAACCTACAAGACTAAAACCTAGGGATCACACTAACATAGTGAACCAAACTGTAGTCCACACACCAACCACAGTCTAGCAACCAATTATTCCCTAAATATTCACATAGAACCTATTTTTAGAAGAATCAAAACCAAAGATAAAGAAGATCCCAGTCTATCAAGGAAAAAATCTAAAACTGCAAGACATAAGACCCGAAATCTTGTTGGACAGTTGCCGAAGAAAATCACCAGCCACGTAGCAAAATCTGAAGGCTGGAGGGCTTAGTGACGCGGAATAAACCTCTGGCAATGACGCATAACAAGCTGCTAAGGCAAGGACAATGCAAATTTAATATAGGGACGCCTCTTGATTTAAGGGCCTTCACCCATTTATAGGCCTCTTCAAGTGATTTTTAGGAGAATCCTCCAAAATAGGCAGAAACTAACACTAGCCTCCTCAATTCCAACACAACAAACCACAGAAAAACCCTAGGTGAACTCAGACCAAACCTGGAAAATACATTCCTTCTAGCATTCAAGCCCTAGACGAACATTCCTAGCTTCAAAACTCTATCCCAGAATTCACAAAGCTACTGGTTGAGCCAAAGTCAAAGGTGAAGGAGCACAAACTCATACTCATCTGATCTGGGGCCCAACTTTGGGCGCCGGGCCTAGGTACCGAGCTTCTAGGTATTATTCTCTTCCTTTTCTCTCATTTTCATTACTTTCCCTTATTATTCATCCTTCTTCTAAAATCCTCCAAAAGGTATTTATTCATATTTTCCTATGATTTCCAATGTCTCTCTAGTTTACACAGATATAAGCCAGCCCCTGGGCGACGATCTGTGAGTAAAGAGTCTCTCCCATCTCTACTTATCATTTTAACTAACTAAGTTTGGACATGGATCAGCATCGGATAGACTTTCAGCAGTCTGTCTCTTCTAGATTCGTGTATGTTAACAAGGAAAGCACAATACCTAATATCAAAAATTTATTAAACTACAACATATATAATCACATGCAAATGAAAAGCAATAAATTAATGTGAGATACAATGATGAAGATCCAATCATAGATGAGCTGAAGCCTTGCAATGATGCCGCCATTTAACTCCATGAGATGAATTATCATATGACAATGAATCGCAATCTTGTGTGAATAATAATTTAGCTTGTAGTTGCCAAACTGGGAAAGGAGAGATCCAATGATATGCAGGGAAGTAGGGAAACAGCCTAAGATAGCAATGCTCGTGGATTTACCAAAATAACAATGCTCATGGATTTACCACAATATGGGCAGCAAAGCAACAACTGGATACTTGAGGAAAATGACAGTTGCTAGGGCAGCAGCTTCCCTAATAGCCACAGTCAATGTTCACTTGGCTTCACAGACTTACAAAAGAATTCGATCTTATCTACAAGCTGGGACTTCTTAAAGAACATCATTGGAAGACATTAACATGTTGCCATTAAACCAACCACATCTAGTAACCTTAATTGATTATCAGTCATAGATGCCTAACTTATCAACTTTATTTATTTCTCGAACTTGGAAAAGAGAGTATTCTGCCAACTAATATTGGTAACAATGGAGTGGAGCTCCACACCAAACGGTTGGATAATGGCCATGGACCAGGCCTAGGCTTGCTCATGCCACATCTTAAAGCCAGACTGCTCTTGAATTTATCAGATGAGCTAACTTTTGCATTCATACTCTCTACCAATGAAAGAAAATATTCCACGTAATCCTATTGGGGAGATGTTATGGTAACACTAGCATGGCTCTAAAGGGTCAGGAGTAGCATAAGATACAACAGGTATGAGTTCAAACATAGGATTGGGGCTAGGGTTGGAAACAGTAGTATAGCCATTTGTGTCCATAGAAGGTGAGTTCAGTCAAGCATGATTTACATAGAAAAATCCCAGACTACAGACAGGATGCCCACACAACATACACACTTAAGTTGCTGGCAAGGAGACCCAATGATAAAAAACAAAAAGGAAAGCACCCCGATAAATATGTTCATTCTTTTGATAAAAGGATTTACAAACTTCCATGACAATTTAGTCAGATGTAGCGAACAATACGGAGAGATGAGGCAACATCTATAGCCTTTCACAATGGCCTCAACATAATAGAGCTCCCATCCAGGAAAAGTACTCATTATTTTCAGAAAATTTTCTTTACGAGACAAAATGACAGCTAAACAAATGTTACATATCATTTCTTAGTTACGATAATGAATGAGAACAACCACTTCCAACCTGTGGCCTGCCTTTACTCACTAAGCAGGCCTTCCAACATTTCTTATAAATGTGGCCTTCCAACATTTATAAAATGTTTAAATGTTCATATACTAAGCAGAAAGAGTTGTACCTCTTTTTGTTCAAGACGTTTATTTAGCTCATTCAGCTCTTTGTCCATCGAATCTTGTAAGATTGTATGTTCCCACTCTTTTGCAGCTTCTTCATCCATCTCTTTGGCATTGTCACCTGCTGAAGCATTTGTACTTCGAATAAAGATCATGGGCACATCCAATAATAAAAAGTCACTAGGTAAAACAAAAACATGGATGGTGGCATATTCCAAAAAGAATCAGCTAGATTACCAGAACTAAGGGCAATCCTTCCTATTTCCATTGGCACCAGATGGTTAGATAGAATGCCACTAACTGGCAAACATGGTTTTAAGGATACATCCTGGAAAGGAACGAGGGATCGACCAGTAAAAGGTTCACACATATGATAATCAGAGGAGTCAGCACTCTGCCTTCCAAATTCTGTCCTCTCTGCCTTTGAGAAGTAGCCATCACCATTCTGCAGTATCGCATAAAAACCAATTAGCATTTTCTTCGTAGACCAAGCCAATCAATAAGCTGGTTTTTAATTCCTTTCATTCACCATGCATAAGTTACTTGCTTTATTGCATTTAAGATGTCTGCCAAAGCTAATAAAAGTTATAAACAAAGAGAGAACGAAAGCAACCTAATGGCCCAGTTTCGCATTCTCCAATAAACTAAAGACTCATGCTCAGTGGTCAAAAATTCATAGCAGGCATGAAACTCAGCACGTTCCCTGGCTGAGTAGCTCAGGTGAGTCCAAGTGGCCTTGCCCAGATCATGAATGAGGCCAAAAGGGCTCAAAATTTGCAAAATAAAATGTAAAAGGTTGTTAAAAAACAATAAAAAGAAAAAAAAAGTTATAAACAGCAATAAAAATCTACAAAGAAAAAATTACAAGGTGGAATATGGACCAAATTGATTTATAGCTCAAAAATTTGAGAAAAATCCAAAAAAAGAAAAAAACAACAGAGCATATAATAAAAAAATTTCTTAAATCATCATAAAAAACATAAAATTTATATAGAAACTTATGTATACATCATCTATTACATTTTAGCAACAAAATTTATATTTTTTCATGAGTTTTTTATCGACCCAATTATGTACATTATACTTGCCTTGGCAGGGTGTCGTGGCCGAGTAACTCTGCCAAGTCCAAGTTGATTCGGCCAAGTTTTGAGAAACGCTCACACTGACAGCTTTACGAAAAATGTGACAGTTCCAAAAGGTTCCTCTTACAGCTAGTTTAGGTGTAACCCAACTATAGTCACCCATAGAAGAATATAAATATAAAATGAGACTAACTATCATTTTTGGAGAAAGTGAGACTAATTATCCCGAGTAAACAAAAAGAAAATAGAGCACAGTTAAAAAGAAAATTTCCAATCATCAGCAGCTTTGTTAATCAATATCCCCTAGAGACTGAAACCAGTCAATATAGGGTAGGTAGCATTACTGTCCCTTAGGCTTCGGCTCAGTGATAGACATATCAGTTTGGGTAAGGGAGGTGACGAGCTCTAACCCTTGAAGTTTGCCCTAAAAAGCCAAAACAAGCCAATCCGGCCAGTTTTTTAGATAGTATACATTTACCAAAACGCATAAACACATACAAGAGCAACAACAATAAATAAATAAATAAAGAGGAAGTGATTTGCAGACATCATGATCATATTCAGTTTAAAGTGAACAATACATTTGTCAGAAGTAGGTAAGATTTAAAGACTAAGGAAATCAATGGAGAGCAGAAATTTGTAAACCTGAGCAACAACAAAAAATAAATAAATAAAGAGGAAGTGATTTGCAGACATCATGATCATATTCAGTTTAAAGTGAACAATACATTGTCAGAAGTAGGTAAGATTTAAAGATTAAGGAAATCAGCGGAGAGCAGGAATTTGTAAACCTGAGTATCCACTCCACGCTGCTCCATCTGCAAGAATCTACTGCGATATTCGTTAAGTTCTCGACATAGTTCTTCATTAGTAGCCTCAAGCCAGGATATCCTGTCCTTAAAAACCTATATGCACGACCAACAAAAATCATTTAATTATCCAAATAACTAGTACATGTAAAGGCCTTCTCAGCTCATTGAATTCCTGCAAAACAGATCAACTAAGATGGCAGGTTTCTCAGCAACCCAGAACATGAGTGATACCTGTATTTCATCTGGCGAAACACCTCCTCCTCCACGAGCACAAATTAGCTCTGCTTGTAAATACTCAAGTTGCTGGCGCATCCGTTGCATTTCACTTGAGACTGGATCTCGATTGACCTAAAGAATAACAAGCACTCACAAGTTAACCACTGGTATGAAAAGCCCAAACAACATAAAATATCCTCATTTCACATGTATAAATGACTGCAAAGTTAGAAGCAGAAAGTGCTGACTTCTTTAGAAAGCGAGCCTCTTTCAAGGGTAATATTCTGATTGATGCTCTGCATCTATAGCAGTTAAAATAATTACAAACAAAGAATCCATTTACCCATCACAGAGGCAACTCACAATGGGTTTATTCTGAATATTGCGAGCTCGGTTAGCATATTTGAGAGTATTCAGAGTTTCCTCTGCATTAATATCTGCTGGACTTATACAAGCTGAAATAGAGGAATGTTAGGAAATGTTAGAAGAACAGTAGTAGACTATAGGTCCAAAAACAACAAAGAAATGAGCTAACGTATTTAAGAACTAGAAGGGTAACAAAACCTCACTTTTCGTAAGATTGAAGATTCCTGTAGTTTAAACATGCAACTATGTGCATGTTTCTAAAATAGAAAGACTACAATGTGAGAGAGTATTATTTCCTGGCATTGTGCAAAGTGCAACACATATCTGTCACTTACTAGACCACAATAAACATGACAGGAAGACTAAATTGTTAAATGCAAAGAACTTTTAAATGTATTTAACCATTAGTTGCTAAGAGTTCAAATAAGAACTTATAGTTGTAGACTGCACAATGAATTTGGGAAGTGGTCGGGGAGACAAGTGACAGAACGTTTCAAGCAAACAATAATCAGTAACATGATGTATTAGAGAACGGTCAACCATACATAAGAGACCCAATATAATGTTGTGAGAAATGTAATAAATTAAAGGACTCAGGCAAAAAAAACATGGGAAAAACGTAGCAGAAACATAAAAGAGTGGAAGTAAGATGCAGGGAAAAAATGTGAAATATAGTTAACACATGTTCTCCATCATTCTAGCAAGATTGCAGGGTTGTCCTTTCTCACTCTATCACCACTTTTTCTGTTTACACATTTTCCATTTATTTGCAACTGTCCATGTGCAATCTGCTGCTGGTTCACTTCAGGGGACATCTCCGGTCCCTTTTGCCATAACTCCTGAGACTTCATTGCAAGTACAGCCAACCAATGATGCATGACGCAACTCTGGATATGGCTATGACATCAGTTTTCCCATGATTTTACATATGCTCTTGAACTTCAAAATTTGAAGCATCTGAAACATAAACCACCCATTTTGAAGCATCCATGCATCATAGCTGACAACTCTTGACAACCGCTAGCTTCCTCAACTATGTCCTTATTGGGTATCCCACCAGCTATTTCTCATAAAAAGACACCCCAATCCACACTTTCAGATTAATCAAGTATTTCGTTTAAAATTGAACTGCTATAAAACTGCATGACTTCTTTTTTTCTCTTGAAAGACAGTCAACTACTGCAACTGCATCCGACTTGGATCCATCCTGTTATGATCACCATATCCACCAAAAACGTAGCATTAATGTAGTTAGGACAGTAGAACCCCAGATCATTCACTCTGGTCTGAACAGATGTGCCAAGCATGAATGATTTTTCTGAATTGGTAAATCATCAATGACATTCACATGTTTAGAGGTTAACCTCGGATAATATATATTGCTTTGTCAGCACTAAAAATTGATCTTGTATCTTTCAAACAAAATGTTTCTGCTAGATTTGCGTCAACATCATGCCCTTGAAGTCCTGAATTTTTGGATGACATTTATGCATGGTGTGCATGCTTTTTTCAAAGAGTTAAACTAGTGTATAGATCCTCTGCTATAGATCTTATAGATCCCCTTGACAAAAGATTCAAGTGGTACAGCCCTAATTGTAAGGTCTCAATTCATTCATGGAGAAAATACAGCCATTATACCAACCTTGTGGCTTTCAAATGGTATGGCCCGATATTGTGAGGTCTCAATTAAATAAGCACCTGATCACTTAGTTCTTCCGATCTAATTGTGATTTAAACTGAATAAGATTTCCACAAGGATGAATCCATCTATGAAAGGTAGAATAAAATATATGCTTTTGCAAACCATTATATTCTTCAAGGCATTCAAGAAATAGAAAGGACAGGATTCTTTTTGGTTTTCCTTTCTTTGATTTTTTGAAGGGAAGGACAGCATCCACTAAGAACAGTAACTCTTTCTAATATGTAAATTGCAGCCTTGTGTCCTCAGCAACTTGCTCAGTCATTACCCTTAATGATCCAACTGGCTAGTAGATAGCAGTATGTGCAAGGCCCAAAAGAACATTATACTCCTTAGGCCTTTTCACCTTCTATTTGGACAATTCCCCTGCAAACCTCATAGGTTACTACCAGCTGCCTCATCAACCATTCATTCCTTCACAACAGCAAGCAACCAACTGCCCAGTGGCCAACCATCTTATTTGACATCTAAAACAAATTTCAGTCTCTTTTGGCATTTGGATTTTCTTAAGGGCCGAACTGAGTCATCCATCATTCAATATTTTGCTCGACCCCAAAACTTGATAATAAGTAACGGAATAACTAGCTTCGCTAGAAATCTCCAGCTTCAGAGACTGTATCCATACACTTCTCAGTTCCTCCATTCAGCAGCCTCAATACCCCGGCAAGCAACATATACTTTTCAGAATTCTGGCATGAGCTCCAGAGTCCAAATAGAGCTTCCAAAATATCTAATCAAGGCCACATGCCACTTCTTGAAAGATATCTCATTCTAAATTGCACAGAGTTCTATAAACTCATCTCATGAAGGGCAATATTCAGATGACAGAGAAGTTTTGGAGGATCAATACACTCATTCACAACAGTTACCAATTTATAGATATCAATACACTCAACTTCTTCGAAGGCTTACCAAGCATTCTGAAAAGGCCAGAAATTTGAAGAAAACAATCGCCATTTAATTTCAGTTTGGCCATTTCAAATATTCTGATAATGGCATGAGTTCAGGAGCAGATTCCCAGAATGCCCTTCGGCCTCATGGTAGATGACTGATGCTATCTGGTAACCAAAAACTTAGCAAAGACAGTTTCCTAATGTTGCTAATAAAGAATCATAAAGACACAGAACAATAAATGAATGATCAACACCCTCAAAAAGAACTTTCTGTGCCAGTTTTTCTTTCTTCTTTTCAATTAATCATTTTCTACCAGCTATATCAGCTAGAAGACATAAAGGCTGGTTAAAGTTCCTGTCTTCTAAAAGAATAAAGTATACCTATCTATAATTACCTCCTTTGATATTGAGACGAATCATGTTGATTTCATTGCAACAAAGGAAGCATTACTAATATGTCCAGATGCATAAACAAGAGATAAAAGCATAATGCATACTGTAGTTATATGAGGCAATGGAATTAGCAGTTTCTTTTTCTACTTCTGGAAGCATGAAAGTTTTTTTTGCCACAAATGTTAAAATAATAGAAGTGAATCATGCCATGTGTTTTATCTCTGCTGTTCACTTAAATTGAACTAAATTGCCAATCTCCGTTTCACAAGACAATTTTACATATTCATAGTCCTGGCTCAGAAGAAACACTATTACCTATCATGACAGTTCTGCTGTTCCCCCCAAGTGAGTCCTGCCACAAAACATAAATAATTTTAGGTGATTAAACTTAATTAAATCATCACAAGCATTGAGAAAGCTGAGCAAGTGAATATGTTCTTCCCATGGACCAAATATATCCAAGCGATACATTTCAAGCCTTTGCATATAAAGCAAAATTATTTAACACCAAATAAATCTCACAAACACCCTTAAAAAGATATCGAACATCATGGTGGATGGATATCAAACCTGCAAGAGACGAGTAAGTTTGCTGTCCCTGTATGGCACATGTACACCCTCTTTTCGCTTTTTCTCGTCTCCAAGTGCACTTATGACATTGCCAAGAGCAAGAAGCCCCTTATTAATATGAACTCCTGATACATATTAGAACAATGAAGAAATAAGGGCGCTCGTTTTTTCTGGTAAGAAAAATAAGAATTTCTTCGAATCAAAGTTTCAATATTCTGAGAAAGTGATAGTATACCCTCTTTAAAACGAAGACCATCGGATCCTGTCCTTTTGGCACGCTCTGATCCAGCAAGATCTACCAAATGGAGCTTAGCACATAAATAATCTTCTCCACCATCATCTAGTGAGCCAGCCTCCCCACCAGCAATATCCCATTTACGCATCTGCTCCACAGTGATTGTGAAGATTGCATGCGAACGACTATTAAACATAAAACATAACACCATGAACACCATAAGATACAGGATAAATTAACGACAAGTAACACTCTATCACTATTGCAATAATTTTTTCCATTATCTAAACATAGAAATTAAGCAGTAGAAATTTGTGGACGTACAAATTGATAACAGTGAGTCCACAGATTGACAACATCAGAACAATGATATTTTTTTTCCTCAAATGGTCAGACTGATGATGTTATATGACGGAGCATGTGATGATAAGGCACATTGACCAAGAATGCTCACACTCTTGGGAACTCAATCTATAAAAAAGTTGATTAAAGAGAGTTCTCACATTCTTGGAAACTCAATCTGTACCAAAGTTTACTAATGTCCTTTGTATAGTATCCTACTATATTTCCATATCCTTCTTGTCCAATCAAACCACTAAAAGGGGTCTTTTTCATGCTTTGAAAACCAAGGAATTAGTGCCTTAGGAAAGGACTTAGGGTATTGAGTTAGAAAGAGGAAAAAGTAAGAAATCAAGCATAATATTTCTTTAGGAGCAATCAACCTACCCATCCAAGATTGATGATCACTCCAGTTAAGTTAGATGGAACAAACTATCTAGAATGGTCCTAGTCTGCAAACTATCTAGAATGGTCCTAGTCTGCCAAAATATTAATAGGAAGCCGGAGAAAATTGGGTGCATCATGGGGAAGACGAAAGAGCCTCCATAGATGATCAACCCCATGATGAATAGGAAAGTGAGAATAAGACTATAATGGCATGGCTTCGACATTCCATGCAGCCAAGTATCAGCAGGAGATTGTTGCTCCATAGAAATGCAAAGGATATATTAGAGGCAGTAGACAAGACATATAACAAGATGATCCAGCTAGGATTCACCAACCGCATCATGAAATAGTGGATTTGCAACAAGGGGAGATGACTGCAGAATTATGGGATATTAAGGCGTAAGCGGAAAGAGCTAGTCCACTATTAACCAATTAATCCCACCATTGATGATACTAAAAAGTAGATTGGGCAACAAACGGTCTTTGAGTTCTTAGCAAGCCTACATCCTAAAATTGAACTTCGAAGAGTACAGGACAAATTGCATAGAATTATGTAGACTGCAAGGGGACAAAGTCCAAGCATCCACCCTGAACGATCAACAGCTGTACCAAGATCAAGCAAGGGAAAGTGGGGGTACAAAAGGACTAAATCGTGCTCCACTTTCTCTCGCAAAAAGGAGAAACTAAAATGCTCCCACATTGGGCAGAGGAGACAAACCCGAAAGAACTATTGGGACTTGCATCCACACTTGAAACCGAAGCAAAGGAGTTCAAATGCGAATTGTTTGCCTTGCATCCTCCACTAACCAAATTTCAAATAATCACCTAAACAATGACAACAGCAAAGTCCATGATAAGATGTGCAGCATGAATGTCATTATGCTTATATAAGATAAGTATTCCCACTTTTAAAAATTGTCAGAATACTTCAACCAAAAAAGAAATGAATTCCCACTTCTACGAAAGAAATAGCATCCATGTTGACATTTGGACGACTACAACAGAGTTAACTGATGTAAAATTGACTCAGATTCACGATTTGCTATACATTGTTCTGTCTGCATTAATGATCTGTATTGCTCAATCTCTTAGGCCAACTTTCAATTGGTATCGTAACACTTATTTACAAACAAAATAAGCAGAGAGGGACAAAATTTACCATAATAACATAGACATTAAGTTCAGGAAACTGATGTCCAATGCATGTCCAGGCATAATAATAACACATCATAGCACATAAAGCAAAATTTAAAACCCTCCAATCGTGGGTTTGCCAAAAAGAAAACCATAAAGCCAATCCTTATGGACTACCATCGTAAAAGAGGACGTGGTTATCATTTTCATGCAAGTAATTGAGAAGATGGGACTCATTACCTTGACTGACTGTTCATGTTTGTGCTTCCTGTGGCTCTACTCAATGATCCTTGTTCCAGACATGCAGCCATTTCCTTTTGTGTGCTGACATCAATTTCTGTTGATCCTGCAAGTGTAATCACTCCATTCGATGTCTCTCGGATTTGTATTGGTGGCTTCCCTGGGACTGTGACTTTCCCAGCATGGCCATTAAGTGTATCGGATTTTCCAGCAGATGCAGGATCAAGCAAGTCTCGCACCTCCTCTTTCAGGATCTTAACACAGAAAGTTCCAGTAAGATTTATTTGCCATGACAAGGGACAACCGATAGCAGACCATGCATAAAATATCACATAGAGATATCAATGACTAACAGCAGAAACAAAAGAAAAAATCAATCATCATTGTCAAAGGCCAGGAAAAATATATGTTTCTCAAAACATTGTGACAAAGTTTATTAGCATGAAATTAGTATACAACAATAACAGATTCAGACGCCCTCTTCACCATTCAAAGCATCTTGAGAAACCCACAGCATCCAAAGTTGTTTGGTGGTTCAATCATGCATGCCTCCAGGGAAAAAAACCCTCAGGAATATTAGTTTCTTTTATTGGTTACTTTCTCTTTAAAACAGTGTTTGACAACCAGGTGAATCCACTTGGACTCGCCTGAGTTACTTAGGCTTGACAGGGTGCCAAGCCCAAAACTCCCCCAAACTCAGAGGGTATGTAATTAATATATTATTAGTTATATTTTATATATAATTGATTTAATCTTTGATAAAATCAATTGTACTTGAGTTACATTTAGTTTTATTTATACTTGTTTACGGTTTTATGCTTTTCAATGATTTTTCTATTTTCTAGTTTTTCTCCTTTTTCTGAAAATATGATCTATAACCAGCTCTGTGGATTTTTATTTGTGAGAACTTTTCCTCATCTTTAATATCGTTTTCTTCTTTTTTTTTATCATTTTCTATCTCTCACTGATTTTTCCGGACTTCTTAGGAATGTTTTTATTTTTTTGGGTCTTTTAGGTCATTAGGCTGCTCGGCCAGACTGGGGCAAGTTGACATGGAGTCTTATACTCACCCAAGTGACTCATCATTGATAGGGACCAAGTTCCGCAGCCGAGCTAAGTAGTGAAACATTGCTTTAAAACATTTGATTGAGGATATAGTGTGAAACAATTTCATACACCATCATGTAGAGTAGCTTCATCACATTGAACCACAGAAGAACATAGATCCTTAAATCATGTAAAGCATCACATCACCAAATGGATGCATACTTGTTGCCAATTTATACAGACAAAGTTGCTCTGTCAAAAAATGCTCTTCAAGAAAGTATGGACAACGAGAGCAATCCCCAATGGAGATTTGGACTGGAGGACTCCCTACTGCCCAAGGAAGAGTGGTGATTTTCTGCAGGCTGATCATCGAGGACAAAATCCAGACCAGGGAACAACTTTCTTGGGTGTGGGGATCCCAAGCCTCCAGATTTTCCAAAGAAACAGAAGAAGTGTGCTATTTCACTGCAACTTTTGGAGGGCATAGGAGTAAATCCTACCTCGCCACATAATATGTGTAATCCCATATTCCTAACGAATTGTTAAATCCAACATTTACAAGCCCTTTTAAGGTTAGATACTTTGGAGTTCTTGTCTGTTGGCTATTTTTTTGAGAGGAGCATGGAATGAGAAAAAACAATATACAGTGAAACGAAATACGAGGACTAAGGGCAATGGAGGTGTAGTTTCTAAGTTGAGCTTGATTCATGACCTCTGATTGGGGAGATAGCGTATCTTGTGACTTGTATATGTGAGGAAACCATTGTTTAAAGAAACGGTCCGCCTAGCGCCTAGGCAGCATGAAGGAGCTCAGGGCCCCTAGGTGCCAATACCTAGGTGCCCGCCCAGGCGGGCACCCACCACCGAATCTTAGGTGGGTGCCAAGGTATTGGGCCCTTTTTTTGAGAATAAATAGCCCCTTAAGGGCACTTGGGGTCATTTTTTACACATGATATTTTCATAAAAGGATACTGGGGGTATTTTAAAACCCCAGAGTGAAAAATTAATAATAATAATAATAATAATAATGGAATCTAGTCCCCCAAATCTATTGTTTTTGAGATATCTATGAATCAAAAAAAAAAAATGCGATTTCAAGAAACATCTATAAGCTTACTTTACATTGTTGGACATTTGGGCTATTGGTTTTATACTTCTCTTTTGCTTTTCAACTTGTCTGGTTGTGATCGTGTTCATGTGTCAGTATGGAGTGTGCCATACTCAGTTTGGATTGGATGGTTGGAAGTTAATCCACAATGGACTCGCTCATGTTTTTTACTTTTTTCACTAAATCTTCAATGATTTGGAGTTTTGAACATGTTTCGATATCCATGCATTTATATTTGCGGGGAAACAGTTAGTTAGAATACATATAAATGCAAAAAAAACATATTAACAGGACATATATACAATTTTTCACCTCAGGGCACCTGAGTTTCTAGGTGCCTACCGAGCACCTAGGTGCTGGGCACCAGGCAGGCCGCCTAGGGGCCCGCCTAGTGTTTTTTGAAACATTGGAGCAACCATTGTTAATAGGAATTTCCCACCAGGGTAAAGGAGACGTGGGATTTTCCTTGAGATGGATATTTCAGTCACAACCTTAGTAATCAACTATTCAGCACTCTGGGTACACCATGTTGGGGTTTTGATGAAGGATACTAACTTTAGAGGAGCGAATAAGGCATTCTCATGGTAACTAAGGTAGCCATCTCAACTATGGCAGAGGTTATCAAAGACTTTTGTGCTTTCTTTCTCTAGCCCCGAATTGTGGGAGGAGATTCTCTAAACATGACCTTCGGCAGTTAATTAAATGTCAAGCAGCCCTTCGCGGACTAAGGACAGTCCTTCAAGAATTGGGGATATATTACAAGAGATCATGAAATTAGACAGTTGTTTAGGATCGCATTTAGCATGCTTGAACTGATGTATCAAGGATGGGTAACAATGGATGGGATGTTGCCTTTATCGATAGATAGGATTAGACAGGAGTTATTTTCCTTATTCTTAAGTCATTTATTTACTTCATCTCATATGATAACTTATCAGAGAAGTAAACATATATAACGAGTGCACTGGCAAATCAGAAATGCATTTTTGTTAAGCTGCACATCTAAACAAATTTTTATTGTTGCAGACAACACATTCCATTCCCAAATTGGTATAAAGCTTGGTAGAAAAAATAAAAAATTCTCCAGTGGCCACAACTTATAAGGGACTGCTGCAATGTGCTTAAATGTCATTCATATCATGCTAGTATCAATGTGCAAATAAAACTTCGCACAAAACTGTAGAAGCCCATCACCGAGTGTCAAGCCATGGCAAGATCAGAATTCACTTCACAAACACCAAGTCTCATGCCGTGACAAGATCAGAATTCACCATAGTAATCATAAACATAAAGGAGAAGGTTACATACTCCACACAATAGAAGACTAACACAAAAACCAATAAGCATATTTTCTGTTTCCGGCAGACTTCATCCTCGCTTTCAGGCTACAGGATCATCCTAGGACATTCTTAACATACAAATTTCTTTTTTTTCAAAATTCTTTTTCTTTCCCCTTCCGTTTTATCCACTTCTATGGATTCTTGGTGACCTTTCAATGACATGTACGAGACTCACCATCTCCCAATCTTGAAACGTTACTAGAGAATCCATTATTTTCTCTCAATGGTGTTATAATGTTCTTTTTTCTATTTGAAGTAATTTTTACAATACATGTGATTGTTGTCTGGTTTGGTTTAAAATATTATATTAGAAAAGCCTAAATCTGCATGAAATAAAGATCCTTAGTAGACCTCGTATACCAAGTGAGCACCATGCCATTTTCCATTAAGTACAACTCATTTGCAAACATCTTTTGGACCAACAAGTTCATAAACCATGTGTGAGAATTGAATAGCTTATGAAGTACTTTCTTGATTTAAATCAATTCATGCAGTTTTCTCATAGGCAGGCAAATACTTGATATCAAGTAAAAATCACATCATTCTCAGATCAAAGAAGAATGTTCATACTGACACTATAGAGGTGAATATAATTGCAATCTTAACATAGCAAATGACCTATAGGACAGATAGAGAAATGAACAGAAAGAGCAAAAGTTGGAGCTGAGGAACCTCAATGAATGAAACACGTAGCTGGAATTCAGTCCTACTCTTCAGGGTTTCAATCTTGTTAAATAGAGCGTCCATTACTTGAGGTATAAGCCCGGCCCGGCATCCATCCCTATAACCAGTTCCCATGGTGTATGTTTTGCCCGAACCAGTCTGCAACACAAACTAAATTATTAGAGCCAATGAATTAAAAAGCGGCCTGCCTAGCGCCTAGGCAGCCACCTCGGCGGGCCAGGGGGCTTGCACGAATCGCCCAGGCCTAGGTAGGTATCCTAGGCAGGGAGTCCCTAGGCAGCCTGCCTAGGCTCCTGGGACCCCACCTAGGTGGGCTCCCAACGCCTAGGGGAAAATGCCTCTCGTTGAGGGGCTTTTTTGTCTTTTTTAAATGCCTCTCCTTGAAGGGCGTTTTTTTGTCTTTTTTGCCTCTAAATTAGGAGAAAGGGGGTTTAGGTTATTGTGTGACCTAAACCCCTTTGTTTACCTTTAAAATGAAAAAAAATTCAAAAAAATCATTTTTTCACATTTTTAAGAGGTATTTCAAAGTTTTAAAAAATAGATCCAAACATCGTCGTTTTTTTTTGAGAGTTGATTTTGATGATTTTTTAAGCTTATTAGAGGTTTTTGGGAAGCATTTGAGATTGGGAAACATGTCAAACATTGAATATTGAAGATCGAGCAAAAACATTAGTTAAAAATCTTCATATTTGAGATTTTATTTGTTATTTCAATGTCTTATTCGGGTTCCTCTAGAAGTGGAGATCCGAGTTGGAAGTATGGTTATAACCCAATTCTGAATGACAAAAATTACATAAAATGTAATTATTGCAAAAAAGATACTAATGGGGTTATAAACCAATTCAAAAACTACCTTGCCGGCATTAGGGGGAATGTTGCCCCTTGTAAAAATGTTCTTGAAACTATCAGAGAGGAGATTAAGCAATATATGAATTCGGTAAAACAAAAACAATAACAAAAACCTTGTCATTTAGATAAGGCTATTTTTGGTTCTACTAGAAATGGTGATCCGGGTTGGAAGTATGGTTATAACCCGAAACTAAACGATAAAAACTATATGAAGTGTAATTTTTATGAAAAAGATACCAATAGGGTATTAACCGGTTCAAGAAACACCTAGCCACTATTAAAGGGAATATTGTTTCTTATAAAAACAATCCTGAAGCTATTAGGGATGAGATTAGACAATATTTTAATTTAGTAAAACCAGAAAAAGAAGAAAATGAACCTTGTTATATGGAAATATCTTCTCTAGGTTCTTCTAGAAGTGGGGTGATCTGGGTTGAAAGTATGGTCATAACCCGAATCTGAATGATAAAAATTGTACAAGATGTAATTATTATGGAAAGGATACTAATGGGGTATTTAGCGGTTCAAGAAACACCTTGCCGGTATTAAGGGGCTATTGCCCGTATAAAAATGTTATTAAGGCTACTAAGGAGGAGACTAAGCAATATTTGAGTTCAGTGAACACAAAAAGCAAGAAAATGATGAAGAGGCACTAGGTAGAGCAACCAAGACTCATGGGGCCTCATCTACACATAGTAAGAAGGGGGGCGAAGAAGAGAAGGACGAGGCAAATTCAAAAGAAACAGAAGAGGACGAGGCAAATTCAAAAGAAACAGAGGAGGACAAGCATTATGTTGAAGACGTAGATGATTCTGATGATGATGGCCTCGAATCTGATGCATATGATGAGGCTTACCCTACTTTTTCAGATGATGACTGAAGAAACTTGACTCTTGGTGTTGAGTCTTAGACTGTGTGCTTTCGTTTTTTTATTTTCTAGTTTTTACTATCTACTCTTATGTGTATGCCTGTATGGTTGTATCATTGTATGGAAATATGGATTATGGAAGGATATGAACTATGGAGCATGGAGTATGGTCTATGGGGTATGGATTATGGATTGTGACTGTATTATTAATTTACTAATTACTATTATATTTTATTTTTTTTTGTGCTAGTAGTTTATCTATTACGAATATGGTTTGGAACTTTATTAATTTACTGATTACTGTTATATTTTATTTTTGTTTGTGCTAGTAGTCTATCTATTACGAATATGGTTTGGAACTTTTTGGATTATGGGATTTCCAATATTTTATGATGTATACTCATATTCCCTGCCCATGCCCCTCTTCTTCAACCTAGGTGTTAGGCTGCCCAGGTTCTGGGCGGAGCCTAGGTGCTGGGCAGCCAAGACCCCCCGGTCGCCTAGGCGCTGCCCAGGTTATGGGCGGAGCCTAGGTGCTGAGCAGCCAGGACCCCCCGGTCGCCTAGGCGCTGCCCAGCGTTTTTTGGAACACTGATTAGAGCAATCAATTTGGTGATGGCCCAAAGGGTATTCAAGCACTGCAATTAACATAAAATGGAGGAAATCAAAATCACCTGTCCATATGCCAGAACAGTTGCATTATATCCTTGGAATAAACCATCAACAAGTGGAGCGACACATTCTTCAAACATGGCTGAGGATGGTGAACCACAGCTTCCATAGACATGGTCGAAGGTAAAAGAATGAGTTCCAATTTGCACCTATAAATTGCCATAGATCAATGTCCACATCTCAAAAATCGTATTAGTTTTAAAATAAAATGCAAAAGAAAAAAAGTTGACAACTCAAATAAGAAATGCATTCAGGTTGTGCTATAGCTTACAAATGTTAGGGTAAAGATTCAACAAAAGGAATAGTGCCTTCAACTTTGAAAAGAAGAAGTACTAGTACATAGAGATGGAGATGACTAGGAAAATCAATAACGTTGTTCTCGGCAAGACTGAAAAGCCATGAATTTTACAAAGAAAACAAAGGGTATATGCATGTTAAACACACCATCATCAGATGCTATTCAGAGGGCGAAGCTAACTCCTTAAAACAGTGATTCAATATTCATAAAATGAGTGAAGACTACCAGGTATTTGAAAGGCAAGTAAAACAGTTCTGTGTGAACCATGAAATGTGATGGGCCTTTACCAAGAACCGCCATATCGCTCGCCAAAACCAACTTCCTCCAATAAAAAATGGTGATTAATTAAAAAAGAAAAAGAAAAGAAAAACTAACAGAAATCTTTATCGCAAGTGTCAAAATAATCCACCAGAAGATATTTTCCCCATCAAAAAAATGAATCACAAAGGAAATAAATTCCCCAAGGAAATTTATCCATACTCCGCAAAATACAGAGCTGGTTTCGGCCTCCCATCATATTAGAAGACATAATAATTTAGGACCCAAGCTGATACATCTAGTCATCAAGGACATACGAAGAAACAAACACACTAATACATCCCCACGTAGCCAATGCCCACATTCAACTGAAGCCAACAAAGTACACAAAAGGAGGCCATGTGAACCTATTTGCTCAGTATGTTTTAATACCTGGGGTTTAGCAGGAATTACAGTGACACAGTCTTTACATCCTTGGGAGCGTTCATCGCCGATGAGAGGGCGAACATGGACGGCAACCTTCACACAGCATTCCTCAGCAGAGCCACCGTTTTCCATCATGCAGAGAGAGGAGAAGAGACAGAGACAGAGACCGAGATGGCGACGAATCTAGCTACGCAAGCATTGCGAAACGGATCCAAGAGCACAAAATCAGATCTGGAAGAAGACCAAGAATGAAAATGTAAGTCGATAGGAAAGAAGAATAGATAGTGGAGAGAGATAGGGATTAATGAAGGGTAGCAAAAGGAGAAAAGTGGGGAAAAGGAAAAGAGGGTGGGGAGGCTAACTAACTGCAGCGACAACAACCAGTGTCCCTGTCATTCTCATTTTTCCTTGCTCTGCACACCACAACACACTGTCCACTGTATCAGAGTGGGGGGAGGAAAGAGAGAGAGAAAGAAAGCTGTTGGGTTTGAAAACGACTGGTTTGGCCCTAGAGAGAGAGGTTTGGCCCTAGAGAGAGAGGAATGGTGGACGACTTTCTCTCTCTTCTCACACTTTTCCTTGCTCCAGAGGCCAAGCACCGCAAAGCAACGCCTCCTCTCATTGGAGTTGAGGCCCACCTCACATGGGCTACGGCTGCTTCTGGGGGGCCCACGCCCTCCTCCTAGCATTCATTCACTTCTTCGTAAGGGCAGGAGAGAGAGCTGTGTGTGTGCAGTGCAGCAAGTAGTGGAAGAAAGTAGAATGCAAGCTAAGCAATTCATTGCCCGACTCTTCTCTTCTCTTCTTCTTTTTTGAATGAATCTTCTCATTCTCTCTCTCTTCCTCAAGCGGATGGATTTGATGAGAGAGGGACACGTATAAGCGGAAATGAGTCATTGTCCCCGCCTCTTCCAACCGAACCCATCCTTTTTCCTCTTTTATTTACCATGTAACCAAGTAAAAATCTCTTGCAAGTAAATCCACCCTGCCCTCCCAAGTCTTCTCCCACCACACACAAGTACCGACTTATCTTGAGTGAGGTTTGTACGAAGTGTCAACCTTATACTATTGAAGTAAAGTCCCCCTCAATACTATGTTGAAAGTGTGCCTTTGGTTCCACGTAACCTTACAATAACATAAAAATGTATTGTTGGCCCCAATTATAAATTTTAAAGTTCCAAAAATAATGACAATCAAGTATATCGATATACATATGAGAATAGACAGTCGAGATAATTTGTTACAAAATGAACAATTTTTAATACTAGAAATCATTTTTTTCTTTCATGTCTATGAATCTTAAAGTTGAGATGATTTATTTGAGGGTTTTCCTAGATAGGGACAAGCTTCACTAGTAGGTTTTTTATATACACCTTACCCATACAGTACAGGTTTGAAACCTTATATAAAAATTCTCATATATATATATATATATATATATATATCATTTTTTTCTTTCGTGTCTATGAATTTTGAGGTTGAGATGATTTATTTGAAGGTTTTTCAAGATAGGGACAACCTTCACTAGTAGGTTTTTTATATGCACCTTACCCATACAGTATAGGTTTGAAACCTGATATAAAAATTCTCATATCTATATATATATATATCTATATATGGGAAATTCTAGCGTAGGCTTATGGGCTTACAGCCCAACAATTCAGATTGAATTTAGGTTTATCTGACGGACACAACCACATTTCGTATTTTAATTTTAATTTACACTTTCAAATCATGTGAAATTTTAAGAGTTTATTCTTCTCATCAAGACTCACCTAATAAAAATATTAAAAAATTAATTTGTAATATATAAATTGATCAAAATATCCCTTATAATTTTTAGAGGTATTTTGGTTAATTTAATTCTCACGAAATATTTTTTGATATTTCTATTGGATTCTTCTATTTTTATAGAACACAAGCACAAAAATTCAAGTGATTTCAATTTATAAAAAAAAAAATTAAAATTCAAATCGATATGCAATTGTGATCATTAAATATAGACTATTGAGCTCATATGTAGTTGTAAATACCCTGGCTTAGCATTTTCTTTTATATATATATATAGGAAAAGTCATCCCGACGCCTATAAGTGAAAATGAATAGTGATTTTGCCTACTTTCTTTATCGTTCAAATTTCATCATGCGGTCACGATTGTCTAGTAGTGTTTTATTTCTTTCTTTTTTTTTCTATAAATCGGAATAACCTGAAATTTGGAGAGTATGTACATCTTACTGACGTACATCTAAACTGACGTACATCTAATAAAAATATAAGAACATTATTCTTGAAAAATAAATTAACCAAAAGGCCTATGAAATTTTTGGGGGTATTTTGGTCAATATTTTTCATGTAAAATATTTTTTTATATTTTTCAATGATTTCCCTATTTTTGATGAATACACACTCCGAATTTCATATCGTTCCGATTTGTAGAAGAAAAATGAAAAATAAAATACTACCGGATAATCGTGACCGCGTGATGAATTTTAGACGGTGATTGGGGTAGACGAAATCACTGTTCATTTTCACCTATAGGCATTGCGTAGTATTTTATATATAAGTCAAGCTCACTCCATGTGATAACATGTATTTAACACTCGTCTCTCTCTTCCTTCTTGTTATTTTTTGGTGAACATTTTTCCTCCTTGTTCAATTCAACCTTTCCGATCCGAGGGGCAAGCCTAGGCCAGGGTAATACACGCTCAGCCCGATTTGGTCCAGCCTAGCCCGGCTCTTATTTCTTCATCTTTTTTATATTGTTTTCTTTAAGTTTTACCCTACGCTGCCTTGGCTCTATTCAAGCTGGGCCTAGCCTGACCAAGGCCCGACTCATTTCCAACCCTAATTGGATGTGCCCCTAAAGCAAACTTATGGAGTGCAAGAGATGCGCAATTGAGTCATCAAATTTGGAAACACCCCTCCTCCATTCCAAGCTGATCTTAAAAAAAGAAAAAAATTAAATAAATATAAAATAATAACAATAATAATAATTGTAGTAATAATATCTAATGAAATGGAAAATGATTCGAACATCCCGTTTGCCTAGCCTGGTTTCCTGGAAGTATCGTCCCGTTATTACGTCTCCTGCTCTCCCTATATTGCTTCACTTCGAAGCAATTATATGCTTGCTACTATATTGGTAGGGCAGACATTTAGTTTGAAAGAAATCTTTGGTGGGTGTTTTAATGTTTATTTAAATTAGGTTAGATTGAACAAACAAACATAAAAGACTAGATAGAAAGGCAAACCACAACTAACGCTTTCTAAATCACCCTTCCCCTATCTCCTTCACTTCCATAGTAGATAAATGAAGGGATTCTAAATCACCCTTCCCCTATCTCCTTCACTTCCATAGTAGATAAATGAAGGGATTGTATACAATGAGACCATTTATTTTGATACAAGGTGGTCATAATTGCTTACAATCATCTTACGTGAAATCTCATAGTTTAAGTGCGTTACAAAGTTTGAATTTTTTTTAAAAAACGTTTATGCTTAGTCAATGGAATAAATGCAGCCATCAACTTTTATATCTAATGGTCAAGATTAATTATGACCACCTCGTACTAAAGGTAAATAGTCTCATTGTATACTTTTCCACAAAAAAATATGCCCATTAAAAAAAAAAAAAGAGTGCTACTTTGGTTTTCATTTTTCAAACTATTAGCCTTAAGCCTCAACCCTCTCATGGGAGCATATGCTACATTAACTCCCTCTTATGAAAAAGGGAAAAGTTTATATAGAGCCAAGGCTCTAAACAATCAAATTTGAGTGTACCTCAAAACTTTCACTAGAAGATGTTGTTTTGATGCTCAAATATCCTCAAGTTGATCATCTCGACATCAAGATGCATGGGCATGAGAAAAAAATGGATTTCAAGTTTGGGAAATAGTGTATTTTGTAACGTATTTTTGGACCGTCAATTTTCAAGATTTTCAAGTTTTCATAGATATGTCGATCTACACTATTTTTTAAGCTTTAAACCTTATAAATAAATATAAAAATATATTTTAAGGCTATCACAAAGATTTCCAGTATTGAAACTGCATTTCTCGACACTATTTGAAAGTAGGTTCTAATTTTATTGTTTAGAGCCTAGGCTCTATACAAACCGCACCCTATGAAAAATTATTTAGGAGTTTATTAAGATTTAATTTTTAGGATGTAACCTGCTCAACCTAGAGGTTTATAAGTAATTTGTATTTTATAGAAATTTTTTAATGAATAGATTTTAGTGTTAATAAACTGAAAACCGAGTAGCTCTTTTTGAAAGTTCTCGTCTAATGGTTCAAAATGGGTGCTGAAAATTTTAGATAAAAAAAATGATTGTATCTATAAGATCGTTTACATGGGTACAAGAAAGTCACATCAAATGTGAAATATGAGAATTTAGGGTAATGTAACAAAGTTTGAGAGATATTTTTGGGACCTTGAGCTAAGTCAAAGCCACATCCTCAATCACCTAATTTCGTATCTAATGGTTAATAGCAATTATGACATCTTTGTATCGAAAGTAAATAGTATTCTTGTATATTTTTCCGGAAAGAACATATCGTACACAGGTCTTCTACAGTTCTACCTAACGTGATAAATGTATAATAGGGTTCTCGCCATATGAGTTCATTATGCATTAAAGTACATGCATCCGTGGCTTTTACGAAAGGCATGATATCAGTTCTTTAGTTAAGAAAATGAAAACTAAAGCTAGTGGAATTGTAGAATATCTTCTCACTTTTTTACTAAAAAAATGATTTGATGTATTTTAACCAAACTATAATACTAATGATGATAGTGATAGTATGGATTACATTTGATAATCTCTTTCCGGAACTGTTGCCATATTTTCAAGTTGGTAGCTGATTCCATAATAGTTTAACTAAGTAAAGCTTCACCTCATAACTCATAAAAAATGGCAAATTCAAGTGTTGAAAAATCTTTAAATCGATCATCTCAGCTTAAATATTATGGTCTTGAAAAAAATTTAATATTTAAATTTTTTAAAAATAGTGTATATTGCAACAAATCATCTAGACGATCCATTTCGTCTAAAAAATAAGTGTTTTAAAATCCTCTGTATCAATTTTTGAGTTTCAAATTTTGTTGTTGGTCTTTGAAATTAATTTTAGAGCCATCATGAAGATTTTTGATGCCGAAAGTACTTTATGGATGAGGACTTGAGGCGAGGTTTTATTTTTCTTCATAAAACCTAAGCCCTATACAAACTTAATCGTTCAAAAATATCTAAAATTTATAGTTCCGATATAATCGGAACTATTGCTAATGATTTTTCCAGACTAGGGTGTTAAAAAACGAATCGAAATAGAACCACACGGTTTGGATTATGAACATGTGGGGCCGGTCCAATTTTGCCAAAATATCACCAGCCCCATTTTTTTTTAATTTTTTTTATGTACTCTACTTTTTCTATCGGTCAAGTCACTTGATCGGATTGCTAATCAGGACCATTGAACCGAACCGGCTTTCTGGACCTTGGCCTAGACAAAGAAACAACATTGTTTGTGTATCATCAGCCGAACCGGCTTTCTGGACCTTGGCCTAGACAAAGAAACAACATTGTTTGTGTATCATCACCCCTCACTTTACCGTATCCTCCCTTTCCCGTCTTGGGCATTACATGCATCCAATTTTGGCATTTTACATTTTCTTAGATAAGGTGAAGAAATAAATAGTGAAAATGGTGCAGATATGCCAAATTTGGAGCGGATGGTCAAACTACTGAAACTTCTTTCATTTAAGTACT